TAATCCCAGTGAGAGTCAAGTTGGGAGTTGATAATTTCTTTCTTTTTTTTTTTTTTTAAAGAGGATCAGTTTAGTATACATTAAGTAAAGATTTCAACAGTTTGCACCCCCATAGAAACATAAAGTGAAATATATTGTTTGAGTACTCATTATAGCATTAAATCTCAATACACAGCACATTAAGGACAGAGATCCTACATGAGGAGTAAGTGCACAGTGACTCCTGTTGTTGACTTTACAAATTGACACTCCTGTTTATGGCATCAGTAATCTCCCTATGCACCAGTCATGAGTTTCCAAGGCTATGGAAGCCCTCTGAGTTCTCCGATTCTTATCTTGTTTACACAAGGTCATAGTCAAAGTGGAGGTTCTCTCCTCCCTTCAGAGAAAGGTACCTCCTTCTTTGAAGACCTGTTCTTTCCACTGGGATCTCACTCACAGAGATCTTTTGCCAGAGTGTCTTGGCTTTCCATGCCTGAAATACTCTCATGGGCTTTTCAGCCAGATCCGAATGCCTTTAGGGCTGATTCTGAGGCCAGAGTGCTATTTAGGACATCTGCCATTCTATGAGTCTGCTGAGTATCTCACTTCTCATGTTGGATCACTCACCCCTTTATTTATTCTATCGGTTAGTATTAGCAGATACTAGACTTGTTTATGTGCTCCCTTTGACTCTTAGTCCTTTCATTATGATCAATTGTGAACTGAAATTGATCACTTGGACTAGTGAGATGGCATTGGTACATGCCACCTTGATGGGATTGAATTGGAGTCCCCTGGTATGTTTCTAACTCTACCATTTGGGGCAAGTCAGCTTGAGCATGTCCCAAATTATACATCTCTTCCCTCTCCCATTCCCACCACCATGTTCAACAGGGATCACATTTCAGTTAATTTTTAACACTTAAGAATAACTGTGTATTAATTACAGAATTAAATCAGTCATATTAAGTAGAACATACAAAAAAACTACTAAGAGGGATAATGTATTAAGTTGTTCATTAACAGTCAGGGCTATGCTGATCAAGTCACCGTTTCCCATAGTGTCCATTTCACTTCAACAGGTTTCCTTTTTGGTGTTCAGTCAGTTGTCACCGATCAGGGAGAACATATGGTATTTGTCCCTTTGGGACTGGCTTATTTCACTCAGCATGATGTGTTCCAGATTCCTCCATTTTGTTGCAAATGACTGGATTTCGTTGTTTCTTACTGCGGTATAGTATTCTAAAGAGTACATATCCCATAATTTCTTTATCCAGTCTACCGTTGATGGGCATTTAGGTTGGTTCCAGGTCTTTAATCTATGTTGAGTGGATTTTTGTGTAAGGTGTAAGGTAGGGGTCTTGCTTCATGCTTCTGCACGTGGAAATCCAGTTTTCCCAGCACCATTTATTGAATAGACTGTCCTTGCTCCAGGAATTAGTTTTAGATCCTTGATCAAATATAAGTTGGCTGTATTGTTTGGGTTGATTTCTGGTGTTTCAATTCTGTTCCATTGGTCTGTCCATCTGTTTCTGTACCAGTATCATGCTGTTTTGATTACAACTGCCCTGTAGTATGTCCTGAAATCTGGTATTGTGATGCCTCCGGCTTTGTTTTTTTTGTACAAGATTGCTTTAGCTATTCGAGGTCTCTTGTGCCTCCATATAAATTTCAGCACCAATTTTTCCAGATCTGAGAAGAAGGTCTTCGGTATCTTGATTGGTTTTGCATTGAATTTATAAATTGCTTTTGGGAGAATGGACATTTTGATGATATTGATTCTTCCAATCCATGAGCATGGAAGATTTTTCCATTTCTTGGTATCCTCTTCTATTTCTTTCTTTAAGGTTTTGTAATTTTCATCGTAGAGATCTTTAACGTCCTTGGTTAAGTTTATTCCAAGGTATTTGATTGTTTTTGTAGCTATTGTGAATGGGATTGATCTTAGAAGTTCTTCCTCAGCCATGGCATTGTCTGTGTATACAAAGGCTGTTGATTTTTGTGCATTGATTTTATACCCTGCTACTTTGCCAAAATCTTCTATGAGTTCCAACAGTCTCTTAGTAGAGTTCTTTGGGTCCCCTAAATAAAGAATCATGTCATCTGCAAAGAGGGATAGTTTGAGGTCTTCCTTCCCAATTTGTATCCCTTTAATTTCTTTTTCTTGCCTAATAGCTCTGGCTAGAACCTCCAGAACTATATTGAATAGCAGTGGTGAGAGTGGACATCCCTGTCTGGTATCAGATCTCAGTGGAAATGCTTCCAACTTTTCCCCATTCAATAGGTTGTTGGCTGTGGGTTTTTCATAGATTGCTTTGATTGTATTGAGGAATGTTCCTTCCAAACCCAGTTTGCTTAGAGTTTTCATCATGAACGGGTGTTGTATTTTATCAAATGCTTCTCGGCATCTATTGAGATAATCATATGGTTTTTCTTCTGCAGTCTGTTAATGTGGTGTATCACATTGATTGTCTTGCGCACATTAAACCATCCCTGCATACCAGGGATACATCCCACTTGGTCTAGGTGGATGATCTTTCTGATGTGTTGTTGCATTCTATTGGCGAGAATTTTATTGAGGATTTTTGCATCTATGTTCATCAGGGATATTGGTCTGTAATTCTCTTTCAGTGCTGCATCTTTTTCCGGCTCAGGAATTAAGGTGATGCTGGCTTCATAGAAAGATTTGGGAGGATTCCCTCTTTCTTTGATTGTTCTGAATAGTTTGAGAAGAATTGGAGTTAGTTCTTCTTTAAATGTCTGGTAGAATTCAGCAGTGAATCCATCTGGTCCTGGGCTTTTCTTTGTTGGGAGGGCCTTTATTACTGTTTCAATTTCTGTCTCAGTTATGGGTCTGTTTAGGTTTTCGATGTCTTCCTGGTTCAATTTAGGTAGGTTGCATGTGTCCAGGAATCTATCCATTTCTGATAGGTTTCCCTGTTTGCTGGCATACAAGTCCTTGTAGTACTTTCTGATGATTCTTTTTATTTCTGTGGTGTCTGTTGTTACATTTCCTTTTTCATCTCTGATTTTATTGATTTGTGTCTTTACTCTTCTTTTTTTAGTTAGTTGGGCCAATGGGGTGTCAATTTTGTTTATTTTTTCAAAAACCAGCTTCTCGTTTGGCTGATTTTTTGGAATGTTTTCCTTGATTCAATCCTGTTGATTTCTACTCTGATTTTAATTATTTCTCTTCTCCTACTAGATTTGGGTCTGGTTTGCTGTAGGTTTTCTAGATCCATGTGGTGAATTGAAAGCTCATCTATTTGGTGCCTTTCCAATTTCTTGATGTAGGCACCTATTGATATAAACTTTCCTCTTAACACGGCTTTTGCCATATCCCATAAGTTTTGGTATGTTGTGCTGTTATCCTCATTTACTTCCAGAAAGTTTTTGATTTCTCTTAATTTCTTCTATGACCCATTGTTCATTCAGGAGCATGTTGTTCAATCTCCATGTGTTTGCGTATGCTCTAGGGATTCCTGAGTTGCTAATTTCCAACTTCATTCCTTTATGGTCTGAGAAGCTGCATGGTATGATTCTAATTCTTTTGAATTTGCTGAGACTTGCTTTATGGCCTAGTATGTGGTCAATCCTAGAGAAGTTTCCATGTACTGCTGAGAAGAATGTAAAATCTTTAGCTGTAGGATTGAAAGTTCTGTATATATCTGTTAGAACCATTTGGGCTATAGTGTCATTTAAATCTACTGTATCCTTGTTGATCTTCTGTCCTATTGATCTGTCCGTTATCTCTCTTAACGGTTTTTGTGGTAAAGTTTATGGTGTCTGATATTAAGATGGCTACGCCTGCTCTTTTTTCATTTCTGTTGGCATGGAATATCTTTTTCCAGCCTTTCACTTTCAGTCTGTATGGATCTTTGTTGGAAAGATGAGTTTCTTGTAAGCAGCAAATAGATGGGTTTTGTTCCTTAACCCAATCAGCCAATCGGTGTCTTTTAACTGGACAGTTCAGGCCATTCACGTTCAGTGTGACTAATGATAAGTGGTAACTTTGCCCTGCCATTTGCCAAAGATAAGTTCTAATATATGCTTTGAATTCCCTGTGATCTTTTGCTGTGAGGTTTCCTTCCTTGGTTTCCTTCCTTTACCTTCTTTCATATTGATGACCGTGTTTCTGTGTTTCTGTGTGTAACACATCTTTAAGCATCTTTTGCAGGGCTGGACAAGTGGCAACAAATTCTTTCAATTTCTGTTTGCTATGAAAAGTCTTTATTTCACCTTCATTCACAAATGATAGCTTTGCAGGATATAATATTCTGGGCTGGCAGTTTTTCTCTCTTAGTACCTGGGCTATATCTCGCCATTCCCTCCTAGCTTGTAGAGTTTCTGATGAGAAGTCAGCTGTGAGTCTGATTGGAGATCCTCTGAGAGTAATCTGACGTTTCTCTCTTGCACATTTTAGGATCTTTTCTTTATGTTTCACTGTGGAGAGTTTAATTACAATGTGTTGTGGTGAGGATCTCTTTTGGTCGTGTTTATTAGGGGTTCTGTGAGCTTCCTGTACTAGGATTTCTCTGTCCTTCTCCAAACCTGGGAAATTTTCTGCTAATATCTCACTAAAAAGGCCTTCTAATCCTTTCTCCCTCTCCATGCCTTCAGGAACTCCTAGAACCCGAATGTTGGTTTTTTTAATAGTATCCTGAAGATTCCCGACAATATGTTTTAGATTTCTAATTTCCTCTTCTTTTCTTTGGTCTGACTGTATCCTTTCCTGTTCTCTGTCTTCTAAGTCCGATATTCTCTCTTCTGCTTCACCCTTTCTGTTTGTAAGGCTCTCTATTGTGTTTTTCATTTGATCTATTGAATTCTTCACTTCAGTCACTATCCCAGTTTCCTGTTGTGCTAGTTGTTTCATTTCATTTTGATTCCTCCTTAATATTTCATTTTCACGAGAGAGATTTTCTATCTTGTCCATTAAGGATTTCTGTAGTTCAAGAATTTGTTTTTGAGAACTTCTTAATGTTCTTATCAATTTTTTGAGCTCTGCTTCTTGCATTTCTTCTATGTCATCATCCTCATAATCTTGAATTGGGGTGTCTTTTTCATTTGAGGGCTTCATGGTGACTTCCTTGTTTTTATTACCTTGGTTTTTGCGTTTGTTATTTGTCATATTGGAGATATTTGGTTTCTTCACTGTGGTGCTTTTTCTTGTTATACTATGACTCTAGATTAAGTGGACTATCTGTTTTTGATGGAGCCTTAGGGCTTGAGATGGGTGTGGCCTGAGAGCTCTGTTTGGTGTGCTGAAGGTGACACTCCCAGGTTAGGCGTGGTAAACCTCTCTCTCTCTCTTTCTTTTTTTTTTTTTGATTCAAAAGGGAAGTTATTCTGCACAGCTGAACAAAGTTGGAGGTAGTTAGCAGGCAAATGATATACCCACAGGAGCCAGAGATTGGAAGCTCTTTCCCAAGGACCACACAGGGAATCTGTTCAGCCCTCAGAGTGGGCTCAAATTCTCCTTCAGTCTCCCACTGGGTTGCCAAAGTTACGGAATTGTAGCGTCTCTGGAGAGTGCTCACGTGAATTCTGTGAGTTCTCTCCCCCACCGTCTCTTTTTTCACAGTCTCAGTTCAGTAGCACCACAAATTTACTAGGTCCTGATCTCCTGTTAATTCGCCCCACCCAGAGTCAGGTTTTTCTGCTAGGCTCAGGGCCGGTGCAGACCTGAGGTCGCTCTGCTTATGACGTATGTCCAAGATGGCGCCTGCTGTTTGTCTTGCTCGCCCTTGAGAGGTGAGCGGAGAGAGAGAAACCCGTGTCCGTACCAGTCACCTGTTTTTTTTTTTTCCTCTCTCTCTCTTCCAGTTAGCCTGGTGAAGTTTCCCCCCCGCCCCCCGGGGGTCGTTCCCTCTAGTCTCCTCTCTCCGCTTGCCTGCCGTTGTCTCGGGCTATTGAGGTTCGGCTCACCTCGCGTTCCAGTGCTGGTGTGTTGAGTCTGCCGCTGGTGTCCCGAACTGTGGGCTCCCACGCTCTCCACGCAGGTCCGCTCCCCTTCCAGCGCCGATGTGTGGACTCGGAGCCCTGGACGTCCCAAGTCTCCCCACTGTCTCTCAATATTTTTAAGAAACCAAGAGTACAGGAATTTGGAAACATTTGTTTTTTACATTTACCAATAATTTCTTATAATTCTACTTAGATCATCTACCACACTAACTATGTGATGAATGTATTTATTGTTCTGCAAACAACAATACTAAAAGCTAATTATACTGCATAGGAAGCAATAAACATTGCATCACAGGTTTACCTGTATTTTTTTTTTTTGCTAAATTCTTTTTTAAATTATTTTTTTCTATTTTTTCAAATTTTTCTTGATAAATATGAATTTCAAAGCACAACTTTTAGATTATATGGTGTTGGGTCATAGATTTAGATCTTTATTCCATGTTTGTGGATTTTTGTCTAAGGTGTAAGGTAAGGGGTCTTGCTTCATGCTTCTACATGTGGAAATCCAGTTTTCCCAGCACCATTTGTTGAATAGACTGTCCTTGCTCCAGGAATTAGTTTTAGATCCTTGATCAAATATAAGTTGGCTGTAGATGTTTGGATGATTTCTGCTGTTTTTATTCTGTTCCATTGGTCTATCCATCTGTTTCTGTACCAGTACCATGCTGTTTTGATTACAACTGCCCTGTAGTATGTCCTGAAATCTGGTATAGTGATGCCTCTGGCAGTGTATTTGTTGTACAGAGTTGCTTTAGCTATTCAAGTTCTCCTGTGCCTCCATATGAACTTCAGCATCATTTTTTTCCAGATCTGAGAAGAATGTCTTTGGTATTTTGATTGTTATTGCATTGAATCTATACACTGATTTTGGGAACATGGACATTTTGATGATATTGATTCTTCCAATCCATGAGCATGGAAGATTTTTCCATTTTTTTGTATCCTCTTCTATTTCCTTCTTTAAGATTTTGTAATTCTCATCGAAGAGATCTTTGAAATCCTTGGTTAACTTTAATCCAAGGTATTTGATTGTTTTTGTAGCTATTGTGGATGGGATTGATCTTAGAAGTTCTTTCTCAGCCATGGTATTGCCTGTGTATACACAGGCTGTTGATTTTTGTGCACTGATTTTATACCCTGCTACTTTGCCAAACTCTTCTATGAGTTCCAATAGTCTCTTAGTAGAGTTCTTTGGATTCCCTAAATAAAGAATCATATCACCTGCAAAGAGGGATAGCTTGAATTCTCCCTTCCCAATTTGTATCCCTTTCACTTCTTTTTCTTGCCTAATGGCTCTGGCTAAAACTTCCAGAACTATATTGAATAGCAGTGGTGAGAGTGGGCATCCCTGTCTAGTACTGGATCTCAGTGGAAATGCTTCCAACTTTTCCCCATTCAACAGGATGCTGTTTGTGGGTTTTTCATAGATTGCTTTGATTATATTGAGGAATGTTCCTTCTATACCCAATTTGCTTAGAGTTTTCATCATGAAAGAATGTTGTATTTTATCAAATGCTTTCTCTGCATCTATTGAGATAATCATCTGGGTTTTCTTCTGCAGTTTGTTAATGTGGTGTATCACATTGTTTGATTTGTGAACGTTGAAGCATCCCTGCAGAGTAGTATAAATCCCACTTGGTCTGGGTGGATGATCTTTCTGTTGTGTTGTTTACCCAGCCATTAGACAAGAAAAAGAGAGCAAGTCAACAAGATGTGATCGTTGTAACTGTAAATGCAAATATGCCTGAGCATTTTGTTTTATATAAAACACATGATATTATATCTAAAGGGAGATATAAGCTCCAATACATTAATACTGTGGGACTGTAACACCACACATTCATCAAGGACAGATCATCCAGACAAAAAATCAATGAAGAAATCACAGAACTTATAGAAACTATTGACCAAATTGATTTAATATATTTACAGAACATTCCTTTCTACAACTGGAGAATCTACATTTTTTTCGTCAACAAATGGAACCTTCCTTGATTAGACTATGGACCACAAAATTTATCTGAAGAATTCTTAATGAATCAAAATCATATCATGTGTATATTCACTACAACTGCAAATCAACACAAAAGCAGCTGCAGAAATTATGCAACTACAGGAATATAAACAGCATCAATGAACAATGGATAACTGAAAAAATTAATAGAAAATTTAAAAATTTCCTTGAAATTAATGAAAATAAAACATCATATGTTGAAAAGTTGGTCCTCGGCCGGTGCCGTGGCTCACTAGGCTAATCCTCCGCCTTGCGGCGCTGGCACACCGGGTTCTAGTCCCGGTCGGGGCGCCGGATTCTGTCCCAGTTGCCCCTCTTCCAGGCCAGCTCTCTGCTGTGGCCAGGGAGTGCAGTGGAGGATGGCCCAAGTGCTTGGTCCCTGCACCCCATGGGAGACCAGGAGAAGCACCTGGCTTCTGCCTTTGGATCAGCGTGGTGCGCTGGCCACAGTGCGCTGGCCGCGGCGGTCATTGGAGGGTGAACCAACGGTAAAGGAAGACCTTTCTCTCTGTCTCTCTCTCTCTCTCACTGTCCATTCTGCCTGTTAAAAAAAAAAGAAAAAGTAAAAGAAAAGTTGGTCCTGGTGCCAGCTTTGTGGTTCAGTGGGATAAGCCACTGCCTGCAAAGCCAGAAATCCACATGATCACCAGTACAAGTCCAGGGACTCCAGTTCCAATCCAACTCCCTGCTAATGCACTGGGCAAGCAGCAAAACATGTCGCAAATGCTTGAATCACTATCCTTAGGTAGACCAGTACAGTGGAGAAGGCACATTGATTAAGCTACACTGCTAGAATTTATGTTAGTATTCTATGGAAGCAGAAAGGAACCTCAAGTTAGGGTTAAGTGACAATTAAGCAACTGAGTGCTAACTGAACCTTTGCTGTGTTCTTTCAACAGGAGGCTGGTGGAGTCTGCTCGGTGGCTGATTACCACCAATCAGCTAGCTGAGGGCACCAAGGCACTTAGAAGAGTTGCACACATCAATGGAAAAGAGAGTGCTGGAGAGATCCTGACCCTTGAGGTGATCTGGAAAGGGGAGCTAAGTACTGGGATAAAACCCATGAACTAACAATCACCCTCATCTGGGTTTCTGAGGGAATGCAGGCTAAAAATAAATTTTGTGAGTGGGGTAATGCATCTCTATCTTGTTTCCCTATGGATTCATAATTTTATAGAGGGGTCACTGAAAAAAATTGATCTTTCCTGTTGCTAAGAATTTGAACAGAGATATTGCAATTCATTGGCATACGTGCACATAAAATTGGAACATAGATGTTGCAATTCCTGGGCATAAGTGCACATGGTAGTTTGAATCAACAGCTAAATATCCATACCTTGGACATGTAGTAGGAAATATTGAAAAAAATTCATTTCCCACTTTAGTCCCCTTTAGGATAATCAGAGCCTATAAAACAAAGGATTGTGTTTCATACAGAAGATGACATTAAAAGCATACTTTTGACTTTCATATATTTATTCAGTAATTCATTAAAAATTTCTAATGTACTACCTATAAGCCACGTGGTGATCTACATAATGTGGATATGGCAGTAGGGTAGATGATGGTATTTATATTCTCCAAATATGCAGAAAGAATTCTGAGCAGGATTTCTCTTTTTGAAGTTTCCTTCCTCATCTCTGGAAGCCAAATCTTGATGTGACTCATCCATGTGCTTGTTCACTGACTCATATAAAAACATTTATTTAGCTGCAGTACACCAGCTGGGTAATAGATACTAGTAGGTGCATAATTCAGAGTCACTGAAATCAGTAACTTCCATCTTATAATTGGACACAAAATTAATAATTAATTGTATAGAACAGGTGTTAAGATTATATACTAGTAATTTTGATAGGACACAAGATAGAATTCACTCTAGCTTAATGGGTTAGGAAAGGATTATGAGTTAGCTTTTAAAATGTAAAAGAAAGGCATTGCAACATCACAGAAACTGATTGGTAGCTGTGCAGCTGATAAATGTCCCATATCAACCATGAAAGAAAGCAATGCCTTGTAGAATAAAATGTTCTTCAAGGAAAAAACAAAGTTCCTCCCTCTGATCCAATGAGTCCATTTCCCTCACATGATAAATTGCCACTTGCCCATTGTCCAGGAAAAACTGATATCATTATTGCTTATATTCAAAGTCTATAATCTTAACATTTAAATGATGCCCCAATGAGGATGAGACCACTTATGTGCAGTTCTCTAACTACAGCACTTTTGTGCCAGAGACCAGCTCCAGCCAGTCCACGGCCCCCAAGGTGTGAGAGGTGTCAGCACTCGAAGAAACGAGAGACACACTCACAGCAAGGCTGATGGCATGGCTCTGGCTCTCGAGCACCAGACTTTATATCATAAGTTAAATAATGATTCTTTTTTTCTCACACTAACAAGTCTGTTGTCCATTTTTTTCTAATTATAATTTCTTTGATTTTCAAGGGCATATTCAGAGCATGGGTTACAATCACAGACAGGTACAAGATAACAGGCTGCCCACACAAGCCAAGGCCTGGAGTGCTATCCAGCTTTGCAGAAATTGGCTACACAAGCTAGGATAGTACCTTCCTAATCTAATCTTTATTAGAAGCCCCAAGTTCAAAGCAGGCCCTTTTTAAAATGTATCCCCTCTTTGCAGTTCTTTCTGTAATTCTTTAACTTCTTTATTGTACTTATTTAAAGGTTCACTTAGATATTCTACAGTTTTGACATCCTAACCATTGTAGTATTTGTAGCATATATTGAATTAAAGCTTTAATAACATTTATCTTTATTCTAGTGGGAAGTATATACCAGGGAGCCTGTTGCCTTTTAATTCTTTTCCATAAACAGCTCAACCTTGCATAAAGCATTAACCCTTTCTCCTACACTAACAGTCTGCTTGATTAAAATTCTACAAAGCAAGGCCAGCGCCGCGGCTCACTAGGCTAATCCTCCGCCTTGCGGCGCCGGCACACCGGGTTCTAGTCCCGGTCGGGGCGCCGGATTCTGTCCCAGTTGCCCCTCTTCCAGGCCAGCTCTCTGCTGTGGCCAGGGAGTGCAGTGGAGGATGACCCAAGTGCTAGGGCCCTGCACCCCATGGGAGACCAGGAGAAGCACCTGGTTCCTGCCTTCAGATCTGTGCAGTGCGCCGGCCACAGTGCACCGGCCGCAGTGCGCCGGCAGCAGCGGCCATTGGAGGGTGAACCAACGGCAAAGGAAGACCTTTCTCTCTGTCTCTCTCTCACTGTCCACTCTGCCTGTAAAAAAATATGTAAACCTTAATACTAGTAATATTCTTGTTTATATAAGGGGGGGATGCCACAAAAGATAGCCCACAGAGAGCTTTTATCTGTTCATACATTCGCCAGCGCCTTCATCAGCCTGGGCTGGGATGGCCATGAGACCAAGAGTCCACAAATCAATCCAGGTCTACCAAGTGTGTGTCATGAATCCAATTACATTAGCCATCACCATTGACCCTCTGGAATCTGCATTAACAGAAAGCTGAATACAGGAGAATGAGCCAGTGCTAGAATCAAACCCAGGTACGCTGATGTAGGACACAGGCATCTTAACCACTAGTGTACACCCCCATTCCAATCTTGATGTCAGAGTTTAATCTCTGGAATTGATGGTACCTTATTATTGCCATTTAATGCTAAATTCTATTAATTATTATTTTTCTTGAAATTTCAAAAATCCTAGATCAACATGCATGCCAGTGCATCTGTCCCACCACTAACCCAACCTTGTTCATCATCAGTGAAATTTTTAGTAATTGAATCACAATAGCACACTCCAATGAGCAACAGATATGGGAAATAGTCTAGCTCTAGTATCATTTTGTGAAATAATAATTACTTTCTTCTGTTTTACATACATTTCATGATGACATATGATGCTTTGGGTAAATTGTAGATAACTTCCATGAAATAGAAGTGTTAATTTAATTTCTAAAGTGAAGCATAACTGCACATATTAATGGGGCATCATTAGAAGTTTCAATACATGTTTAGATTGTATATTGCTCAAGTCACCATGATCTTATCTATTTCCTCAAAGCTTTATCATTATTTTGTTATAAAAACATTAAATTCTTAATCTCTGCCTTTTATTTTTTGGGAAATGCATGATTGAACTTCAAACATTTTATAGAAAATGGAATTGAGTATAGTTATTTGAGTAAAAAAATTGAAATTCATTCATATCAAAGGTCTTCAAAGAGCTCATAGAAAACGTGTATGATGGAAAAACTATGCATGGATTTCCAAAGTTTTTTCATCAAAATAATTTATCTTTTAATTTCTTTTTCACAAGCCATTTGAAGCACTTTTATGTAATATATTATTCTTACCTATAGTTGCAACTGCACAACAGAACACCAGAATTTATTTCTACTATGGTACTTTAATTTCGTGCTTGTGGACCAATTTTTTCTGACACAGTAAGTCACATGTTAAGTTCAGGGATAAATTCTAAGCCAATTTTTGAAGCCCTAGAACTAACTCTTTTGGTGTTAGTAAAGTTCGCCTCTCATAGAACTTGCCTAAGCCAAGGTCACACTGTATCAACATATTCCCTGCACTTTTCACTGCCTTTAACTCTGCACTCCATTAATGATGGGAGGCTACATGCCTATCATACTTAGACAAAGATGTCTTGGATCCAAATGATGAAGTGGATGTAGTTTTCAGAAAGAAAAAAAAAACCACTGACACATGCATGCATTTTGTGCATTTTGCAAATCAACAGGCTGTTGATGCATGAATTCATTTCTGGGATCTTGATTCTGTTCTATGGTCTATATATCCATTTTATATCATTTTACTTAAGCTCTGTATTAGCTCATTAAATCAGGAATTGTGGTGCCTTAAGCTTTGTTCTTTGTTGCTCAAAATTGCTTTGGCTATTCCAGAACTCTTATGCTGCCATATAAACTCTAGCCTTTTTTTGTTCTCCAAAGAATGGCATCTGAATTTGGGTGGCAATTCTTTTGATCTGTAATCATATTAGGTAGTATGGATATTTTGATAACAGGAGCATTAATTCTTCAAGTCCATGAATATGGGAAGTATTTCCACATATTTGTGTCTTCTTCAATTTTTTTAATGAATGTGTCATCTTTTACACTGTGAAAAACATTTCTGATCCTTGGTTGAAAATTTTCTGGGTATTTTTCATAGTTTTAGTTAATGGGATTTATTTTATGATTTTCTGCCCTTCCTAAGCTCAATTTTTAGCAGGCTTTATTCCTATGCAATTCATCTGAGTTCCCATTTCCCACTACACCTTTTGGAACTTTCCACACAAGAGGTAGATTACTGACTGCCCACGTCCCCCTAGACAGAAGGGTCCATGAGTATAGTGAACTCTGGATCTATCTCATCTTCCAGCACTCACCACTACACTCATTGACATCTCATAAACGCTTGTTGTTGTTTTTGTTGTCAAAGTTTGTGAGGTCCACCATGCAGGAGGAGATGGACAAAGCCTCAACCAAACCATCCGTGGTCGAGGTGTTCCAGGCACCCAAACTGCGCATGAGGATTCTCTACCTGAGCTTCCTGAGGTGAGTTACACTGGGTGATGGTCATGAAGAATTCTTATGTTGCCTTACCTTTGTGCGTTTTCAAGGTTCTCAAATTTTTGGTTCTTTATTTAAATATATTCTAAATATAATATTTATAAACACATTCTAAATGTCTTATCTCAGTCTGGAAATTAAAGGATGTGTTTTGATTAAATTTTTATCATTTTTATTTCTATTAATGTAAAGAGAACATATTTCACATATTTCATAGGTACTTTCTAAGAAGATATCCAAATTCCCTCCCTGCTCAGCTCCCTCCCTGAATCCCCTTGCTCCTTCCTATTTTTTTCTTAATACAAAAACCTAACTTCAGTCCAATCAGTAATCACAGGCTTAATTTAACACTAATCATAATATTCACCAAGTAAAAAGTAGGAAGACCACAGTTCCACAGGAGTATACACAAGGGCTAAAACAACAACCATATTATAAGATATGCATTTCATTCCAACACATTTTTGGCATTCTATATTAACAGCCACATATCAGAGACAACATATGATATTTGTCTTTTTTTTTGCACTGGATTATTTCAGTAAGCATAATGGCTTCTAATTGCTCCATTTTGTAGGTAAAGACAGGACTTCTTTTTTTTTTTTTTGCTTAAGTAGTATTCCACAGTGTGTGTGTGTGTTTGTGTGTGTGTGTGTGTGTGTATCATATTTTCTTTGTGGATACACTGATTCTATATCTTACCAATTGTGAATTGAGTTGCAACACACATGCGGGTACAGATCACTTTTCAAATGGTGGATCTATTTTCAGATTTCTTCCCTAATATTTATACCAGATTACATTACTACCAACAGTGGGTTAGGGTACCTTTTCCCCACATCCTCACCAACATTTGTTATTTTTTGATTTGGAGATGATAACCATCCTAATTGGGGTGATGTGAAACTTCATTGTGATTTTGATTTACATTTCCTTGATGCTTAGAGATACTGAGTGTATTTCATGGTTTTTTTTGACAGGCAGAGTTAGACAGTAAGAGAAAGAGAGAAAGGTCTTCCTTCCATTTTTCTTTTTTTTATCCAGGGTATTTTTTTAAACTTTTATTTAATGAATATAAATTTCCAAAGTACAGCTTATGGATTACAATGGCTTCCCCCCCATAACGTCCCTCCAACCCGCAACCCTCCCCTTTCCCACTCCCTCTCCCCTTCCATTCACATCAAGATTCATTTTCGATTCTCTTTATATACAGAAGATCAGTTTAGCATACATTAAGTAAAGATTTCTACAGTTTGCTCCGACACAGAAACATAAAGTGAAAAATAATATATGATTTTTTAAATGATGATGAAATCAGATCAGACCTATTGTCATGTTTAATCCCAGTGAGAGTCAAGTTGGGAATTGATAATTTTTTTTTTTTACAGAAGATCAGTTTAGTATACATTAAGTAAAGATTTCAACAGTTTGCACCCCCATAGAAACACAAAGTGAAATATACTGTTTGAGTACTCGTTATAGCATTAAGTCTCAATGTACAGCACATTAAGGACAGAGATCCTACATGAGGAGTAAGTGCACAGTGACTCCTGTTGTTGACTTTACAAATTGACACTCCTGTTTATGGCATCAGTAATCTCCCTATGCTCCAGTCATGAGTTTCCAAGGCTATGGAAGCCTTTTGAGTTCCCCGACTCTTCTCTTGTTTAGACAAGGTCATATTCAAAGTGGAGGTTCTCTCCTCCCTTCAGAGAAAGGTACCTCCTTCTTTGAAGACCTGTTCTTTCCACTGGGATCTCACTCACAGAGATCTTTCATTTAGGTCCTCTTTGTTTTTGCCAGAGTGTCTTGGCTTTCCATGCCTGAAATACTCTCATGGGCATTTCAGCAAGATCGGAATGCCTTTAGGGCTGATTCTGAGGCCAGAGTGCTGTTCAGGACATCTGCCATTCTATGAGTCTGCTGTGTATCTCACTTCCCATGTTGGATCACTCTCCCCTTTATTTATTCTATTGGTTGCTCTGTGCTGATCCGAAGCCAGGAGCCAGGTGCTTCCTCCTGGTCTCCCATGTGGGTGCAGGGCACTTGAGCCATCTTCCACTGCACTTGTGGGCCACAGCAGACTGCTGGACTGCAAGAGGAGCAACTAAGAGGTTTTATATAAATGTGATTTGTTTCCAAACATCTATAGGCAATCTGGTTGTTGTTCATTTGTATATATTTCTATTCCTTTACACTTCGGCTCTGGTTTATTGAAGACTGTTTTAATAACCCAAAATATATTCTATTTTAGTAAATACAAATATTTTGAAATATATTTTCTTTTTTTTTGAAAGTCAGAGTCAGACAGTGAAAGACAGAGACAGAGAGAAAGGTCTTCCTTTTTCCATTGGTTCACCCCCCAAATGGCCGCTATAGTCGGCGTGCTGGGCCAATCCAAAGCCAGGAGCCAGGTGCTTCATCCTGGTTTCCCATGTGGGTGCAGGACCCAAGGAACTGGGCCATCCTCCACTACACTCCCTGGCCACAGCAGAGAGCTGGACTGGAAGAGGAGCAACCGGGTTAGAACCCAGGGTGACGGCGCTGCAGGCGGAGGATTAGCCTAGTGAGCTGTGGCTCCAGCCAAAATATATTTTCCAATGTTACTTTGTAATGATCTATATATACACCAAATCATTCAAATGGACTAAGATGTTCTATAATACACTGCTCTATTTCATCATATTGGAATTTATTTCCACACTTCTGGTCTGTGGGCCAGATTTCTACATTCTATATACTCAGTCAGGAAAACGAGAAGAGCTAATGGTAAACAAAGAACTAACCAGTGCTAAATATAGGACCCCAGGCAAATAGATGATCAAAACAGATTCCTTCCCTGGACACTTTTGAATGGATTTTTAAAGGCCTCCAAATGTCATTTAGCCGTTCTCTCCATTTCTTGTGATATAAGAAATGCATTTTCCTCTGACTGCTGCACACACATTTCTCTCTATGCCCTGCAGATTTGCCTGTGTATTGTGTACAGCAATTGCCTCACCCCAACGCCTTTGTCTTCTTCCTTCCTCCCATACAGCAATTCAAATGACTCAAGGCCAGGACTCTGATCTATGAACAAATCCATAGGTCCTTGCCATATATTACTGGAAGTGCACTTAGCTGCCACTCTCCTTATCTCAATTCTGACACTTTAGATTAGAAGTTCAGTGGTAATAGCTCTTAGGTTGCTTAAAACTATCAGGTCTCTATATCCTTCAATACACACGGAAAACTCTTACCTGTAAGAGTCCTTGCAGCCTCACACATAAGGATTAATGTGAAGGTTTCCACACGGAGGAGCAGAGAAGAGAATCTCACAAGATGCTGCAAACATAAATAAATAAACACTCCCTGATTTCCAGCATTTAACCCTATTTTTGTTCAGTTCCTTATAATGTCAAATGGAGTGATGAACTCAGATTGCATATTTTTCTATACGATAGTTTCAATACCTTTTACTGGAGTTTGGGTACCTTAGGTACCTCTCTCCTGTGCCCTCGGCACAACCTGCAACAAACAGCTTATTTTGAAGTCATGTTTCACCATAATTTTATACGTAAATCATTGTCTTAAGGAGAAATATGATATGATGCAGTACAAAATTTTTTCTGTTACATTGATTTCAGCTACTTGGACAATATTTTCTTCAAGTATAGGTTTTGTCTTCAAAATTGTAAATTATATTCCTTAAGCTCTAAGCCTTATTAAATTTTTCTTTATTACTTTAATCACTTCAGGCTGGGAACCACTATACCCTTTTACGGTTTGATACTCAACCTACAGGAACTGGGGAGCAGTATCTTCATGTTCCAGATCCTCTTTGGAGCTGTCACATTCATATCCAGATGTATTATCCTTTTGATAACTAAATACATGGATCGTCGGATCAGTCAGTCGTTGTTTTCCTTCCTTGCAGGACTTTGCATTCTGGTCAACACCTTTTTGTTCAAAGGTGAGAGAGGCAGGAGTTTGGGGGAAGGAATTGGCTTCCCTCAGTCCTCAGGAATTATGTGGGTTTATATGTGGCCAAAATAAAACCATTGGCATTGAGAGGTGCAGGCTTGCTTGAAGTTAACAAGACAGCTTGAAACTGCTCCTGATAAAAAATCATTGGCATGTCTTAGGCTCCAGCCAAGCCAGTGTCAGCAAGGGGTGGCTCAGATACACAGGTGTCTTCATGACATGCAGGATGAACCTGGACACCAGTATTGACTACACAGAGCCGCTTCTCTACCAGTTACAGCACAGACTGTTGGCTAATCATGCTGTAATATACAAGGAAGGGGTCGGTCTTGCTGTTGTATCCTCAAACACGCACACAGTGCTCTCATCGCTTCTGTCTGGGACTCTTCCAGTGTTAAGGCTTTCCTGCTTGGCATTTCACTCACTCTTTCATAGTCATTTTTTTTAAGTTGCCATTTGAGTCACCATAAATGCAAAAGAATTTTAGGAGAATTTCTTTGACTACAGTGAAATAAAAATCCCTGCCTTCAATCAGATAACTGTATGGCAGGAACAACAAGAGAGTCTCATCTGGTTCAATTGATTAAACTGTTTTGTGTTCTGTGGTCCAGACTGATGGGCTTCGTTCCACCTCATGCAAATTTGCCGAGTAATAGAAAGCCTTCTCCATTGTTTAAGGTCCTTTTGATTATTTTTATTGAATGTTATAAGTTCCTTTTTGAAATTTTAGTATTAGTGTTTCCCAGCATCACATTGCCTATTTCCAAATAGGAGACCTAATTCTCTCCTGAACTATTATTCTAGAACGCTGTCTCTTCAAAATATCCACTCTAAATAAACACAATCTATTTGTTACTATTTGATAGAATACCTGTCTATATCAAAAATGGTTTCCCACACTGTTCATTCCAGTTATTACCTTTCCAGTTATATACAGTTTATATATCTAATATCTGTATTATAGATAACATATAATAATAAGTGACCTGTAATAATGGTATATACATTTATTATCTGAACATGCATCTATGTCTTAAAGAAAGTGCATAGGAAAATTAAGAAATAAAGTTACTCCATCATGGAGGAAGACTTAAGGCAACTAACTGAAATCGTTTCAATCGTTGTTTAAGCTATGACATTCTGCAGTCCACAGTCATCCATGTAGCAACCATTCCATAACTTCTGGGATGTGCGGTTTGTATATTTTAGGTCATACCTGAAACCACCCCCCACCAACCCTCCAGCAGAATTGTTCCATGTCTATAGGGAGGTTGACAGATTTCTTTATCCTATATTGTCTGACTCTCCTTGGTCCTCCTCTCTCCAGAAATGCAGACTCTACGTGTGATTTTAGCAACTGTGGGAACTGGTGCTGTTTCTGCTGCCACTGCTACTTTTGCAGTCCAAAATGCAGAACTCATCCCTACAATATGCAGGTATAAGTATTAGAAGGCCATATGTCTGCTTTCCAAATGAGACTTTTCTAGAATAATAGATATTTATTGATAAGTAGTAACTTCGCCCTGCCGTTTTCCCAAAGATATTTTCTAGTATATGATTTGAGCTTCCTATGATCTTTTTCTGGTAGGTTTTCTTCCTTTACCTTCTTTCATATTGATGGCTGTGTTTCTGGGTTTCTGTGTGTAGCACATCTTTAAGCATTTTTTGTAGGGCTGGATGAGTGGCCGCGAAGTCTTTCAATTTCTGTTTGCTATGAAAGGTCTTTATTTCACCTTCATTCACAAATGAGAGCTTTGCAGGATATAATATTCTGGGTTGGCAGTTGTTCTCTCTTAGTACCTGGGCTGTATCTCGCCATTCTCTCCTAGCTTGTAGGGTTTCTGATGAGAAGTCAGCTATGAGTCTGATTGGAGATCCTCTGAGAGTAATCTGAAATTTCTCTCTTGCACATTTTAGAATCTTTTCTTTATGTTTCACTGTGGTGAGTTTGATTACAACGTGTCATGGTGAGGATCTCTTTTGGTCATGTTTATTAAGGGTTCTGTGAGCTTCCTGTACTAGGATGTCTCTGTCCTTCTCCAAACCCGGAAAGTTCTCTGCTAGTATCTCACTAAAAAGGCCTTCTAATCCTTTCTCTCTCTCCATGCCTTCAGGAACTCCTAGAACCCGAATGTTGGTTTTTTTTAATAGTATCCTGTAGATTCCTGACAATATTTTTTAGATTTCTAATTTCCTCTTCTTTTCTTGATTTGACTGTATACTTTCCTGTTCTTTGTCTTCTAAGTCCGATATTCTCTCTTCTGCTTCACTCATTCTGTCTTTAGGGCTCTCTAATGTGTTTGTAATTTGATCTATTGAATTCTTCATTTCATTATGATTTCTGTTCACCAGCACCGTTTCATGTTCTACTACTTGCTTCATTTCATTTTGATTCCTCCTTAATATTTCATTTTCATGAGAGAGATTTTCTATCCTGTCCAGTAAGGGTTTCTGTAGTTCAAGAATTTGTTTTTGAGAATTTCTTAATATTATCAATTTTTTGAGATCTGCTTCTTGCATTTCTTCTATCTCATCATCTTCATAATCTTGAATTGGGGTGTGTATTGCATTTGGGGGTGTCATAGTGTCTTCCTTATTCTTGTTTCCTCAGTTTCTTCATTTGTTGCTTGGTATTGTGGCAATATTCTTTGGTTTCTTTGCTGTAGTGGTTTTTCTCATTATACTATGACTCTGGATTATGTGGACTGTCTGCTTTTGATGGATATTTAGAGGTTGTGATGGGTGTTGCCAGAGAGCTCTGTTTGGTTCTTCAGGGTTAAGGTTGTGCCAAAGGTGACTCACTAGGTTATTCTCTCTCTCTCTCTCTCTAACTCACTCTCTCTCATTTTTTTTGACTCAAAGGGAAGTAATTCCACACAGCTAGTGGAATTGAAGGTAGTCGATGTATGAAATCCGGCCCCTGTGGTTATTCGTCTGCTCTACGCAAGGACCACACAAAGGGTCTATGCAGCCCTAAGTGTGGTCTCAAATTTCTCTGCAATCTCCCACCGGGTTGCCAAGGTTAGCGAGTTTGTGTACTCCATGAGTTCTCTCGCCCACCCTCAGATTTTCACAGTCTCAGTTCATTAGCTCCACACCTTCACTAGGTCCTAACTGTAGGAATCAAACTGAAAGGTTTAGATGTCAGAGGAATAAATGGTGATACAAATGAATGCAACAACTAATAACCAATAATTATTAAAACTAAGTTTATACCAGAAAATGTGCTATGTCCAACAATGCATCATTTCACTAACCTTGTAAACCACTCTACAAATTGGTGCTACATTGACGTCTACCTCAATAATGATAAAATAGAATTTTCAAGCAATTGCCAAAATCAAAAATCAAACAAGGAGAAAGAGAAGCAAATATCACTAATAAGGGCTTGCTGGGTATATAATAATTGTTTCAGTTTCACACAATATAAAATCAAGTTGATAAATAAGATGTTGCATGTACATATCTCTACAAAATTTTCTCTGTATTGTTATTTGCACACAAAGGTCAACAGTTGCAGGAATCCATAATGTGTCCTCAAGAATTGGGGCAGTACTAGCGCCCCTCCTGATGACCTTAGTGGTGTATTCTCCCCACCTGCCCTGGATCATCTATGGAGTCTTCCCCATCCTTTCTGGCCTGATTGTGTTTGGCCTTCCGGAAACCAGGAATCAACCTCTTCCTAACACCATTCAGGATGTGGAATAGGAGTGAGTAAATCCTGTAGCTGTCACCAGAGTGGGGAGCAGCTGTGTCAATAGCACTGCCATGGGGAAAGGAATGACCCTTTACGGTTTTGTCCAAGTGGGCTCAGACCAGGGTTGTTTGTCTCCATGTCCTTGAATTCACTGGCAGCCTTGCCCCATCCACAGAGGTGTCAGATTCTTTGTGAGGTTGTGAGGTTCTCTAGGTCACAGAGACCATTCTAGACGAGTAGGGTTAGTGATGAAATAGCCAAAAGTAGTCTCATTATGAATGGTTCATGCTCTCTACCCTTACAAGGATGACACACTCCTAAGGTTTTCTCATAAACTTACTAAAACTGAAATGCTTCACTCTCATCATGCCGCTTTTATCATCCATCAACCCAATGATGCTTGATAAAAATGGGAAAGAAACTCAGTTCTCCTAATGGATATAAACCTGTTCAGTGATTTAGTTAGAATTATGGGACTGGAGTATGGACAAGCTTCTTTGCAGAATGCCACTATGTCTACAGGAAGTTGGTCTGTTGGAATTTTGTGAGATATGTGCAGTTATTCTGTATTTCTTTGTTTCTTGACTTTGTTTTTGTTGGATTTCTTTTTCCAGCACAAAAGATTCGAGGAGAGTAAAGGATGATGATACTTTCCTGAAAACCACACAATTTTAAGGCATTCCCAAGAATCGACCCAAAGAAGAGCTAAATAAGGAGGAAAAAATAAAGCTTGATCCTATATATCTATAAACCAGTGAAAATATAATGTTCAAATGAATGCCTTTTACATTCATAGAACAAAATATATCAATTTTCCCAAAATAATTATTAGTTCTCAATTCCACAAAGCAGCTGTTTATATGGGGGACTAGTTGAAAGCTAGCTCCGAATTCATCTGCAAATTATTAACAGCCAAGGTGTCTTAGAAAAAGCAGCATTCTTTATTTGTTCTAACCATTGCACTCAGGGGTATTACCAAAGGAAATGAAATCATTATGTCAAAGAGATATCTACACTTGCATGTTAATTGCAACACTATTCCTAATTACCAAAATGTGGAAGCAATGTAAATGTCCAATAGATGAATAAATACAGAATAGTTTGTATAGATACTGAATATTATTCAGTTGTTCAAAACATATTATCCTATCATTTGCAACAAAAAGGATGGATCAGGTGGACGTTATGAGAACTGAAAATTGACAAGCATGGAAAGACAAATGCTGCATATCTCACTCATACATAGAGTCTAAGATAAATCGATCTCACAGAAATAGAGCATAGATGATGGTTACCTGAGGCTAGGCAGTTGTATGAGGGATGCAGGTGGGGAAATGCTGGTCAACGGATGTAAAATCAGTTATATAGAAAGAATAAGTTCAAGAGACCTGCTGTACAGACCTGTGACAAAAGTAGATAACAATATGTTGTATTCTTTTAAAATGCTGAGAGTGGGTGGTATTATAACTACAAAAATGATATTTTATGATGTAATTATATGTTAAGTAGCCAAATATAACCATTCTGTTATGCAAATAGACATTGAAAACTCGTGTTCTGTATAATAAGTACAACTACCTTTATCTACAAATTAAAAATAAGTAAATGAATTTGAAAAAGGGAACAGCACAATATAGGGTGACAAAAGTGGTCATACATGATAAATCATATGATGAATTTTTTGAAATTACAGACATCAGAATTTGCAATTTCAGAAGTGACCAGCAGTCATGAAAATTCCAGAGAAGATGCAAACATGTACAATCTATGAAATTTTGGCACCAAAAAATCACATCTAAGTTAAAAGATTATGTAATAAATAGTAGTAATTTCCATTTTGGAAATGGTTTATTTTGGTGGTGATAGGTTTTTTCCCTTGCATTCCTTCAGCTCCATATTTTAAGCAAATGTGAATCATTTGAATTATTATAAGTATTATCAAATATTAAAGCACAACTTGTATGGTAAAAGACTTCCAAATATATGTGTGTGCATGTACTTAATATATATCATTATAAATAAAGCTACAGTTATGTACAAATCAGAAACATTAAGGACAGTTTTCAAGAGTAACACAACATGGGTAATAAATATGTGAAAAAGTAAAAATTGAATTGTGTTAAAAGAAAAATACACTACAATGAAATACCAACTTTCATTTCCAAAAGCAGCAAATGTTTTAAAGGAGCCAGTCATACTTGAGATGGGTGAGGTATACTGAAACTGACATTCAAGCAATACTGAGGGAACTACTAAATAAACCACATTTTGAAGCTGCTAAACAAATACTTCAACTTAACAAAAGTTTCAATACAATGTTTAAATATTGTAGTTATTGATGGTTTGTGGCGGTGGAGCCAAGATGGCGGAATAGTGAGGGCACGCAGCAATAGTCCGGGAAAATTTAGTTTAATAAAAGTGGAGTTATGGTAGCCTCAGAAAAAGGATTAGGAAAAAATTGCAGAGGAAACTCTTCCGGATCTAGTGGCTATGACTCGGAGGACCTACTGGGAGAACAAGGTCGCCCACCACGCGGAAGCCTCGGGAGCCGTAGGGTCTGCGCGCCAGTGCAGGAAGGGGAGTGGATGTCACACAGACACCAGCGGGGAGAGTTGGGACACCCAGGGCTCCGAGTCCACACATCGGCGCTAGAAGGGGAGGTGAGCTCAGTAACCCGAGACATTGGTGCGGAAACGGCAGTCAGAATCTAGAGGGGAGCTGGAAAGTTCACCAGACTGACTACAGGAGAGAAGGATAAAAGGTGGGGGGTTTCTCTCTCCGCCAACCTTGCAAAGGTTGCAAGGTTTGCAAGAGTTTGCAAGAGTTTGCAAGGTTTGCAAGAGACAAAGAGCAGGCCCCCTCTCTGGATTTACATAACAACAGGGGAAGCTAAGGAACTGAGTCACTACAATTCAGTATCCTAGGCAACCCAGTGGGAGTCCAGAGGAGAAACAGAGCCTGCACAGACTCTTTGGGTAGAAGCCAGGGATTGGAAGCTAAATACCATCAATTCTGCACAGCCGTGTGGTGCGGTATTACTTACCTCCTGAATAAAACAAATAAATAAATAAATAAATAAAAGAGAGATTTACCATGCATAACCTGAGGGTGTCACCTTTGCACACCCATAACCCGGAAGAAGCAAGCAGAGCTCTCAGGCCACACCCATCTCAAGCCTCCAAGGCTCCACCAACAGCAGGCAGTCCACTTAACACAGACATAGTATAAAATAAAAACATAAAAAAAAAAAATGCACAGTGAGGGTAAAAGAATTAACTATGCCAAGCAACAAACACAAAAATTGAGGGAACAAGATCAACCATGACATTATGATGCCTCCAAATAAACAAAACACCCTAAGCCAAGATTATGAAGATGATGAGATAGAAGAAATGCAAGATACGGATTTCAAAAAATTTATAATAAGAACATGTAGAAGTTTTCAAAAGCAAATCCTTGAACTACAGAAATCCTTATTGGAGAGGATTGAAATTCTCTCTCGTGAAAATGAAATTTTAAGGAAGAATCAAAATGAAACGCAGAGGCCGGCGCCGCGGCTCACTAGGCTAATCCTCCGCCTAGCGGCGCTGGCACACCGGGTTCTAGTCCCGGTCGGGGCGCCGGATTCTGTCCCGGTTGCCCCTCTTCCAGGCCAGCCCTCTGCTGTGGCCAGGGAGTGCAGTGGAGGATGGCCCAGGTGCTTGGGCCCTGCACCCCATGGGAGACCAGGAAAAGCACCTGGCTCCTGGCTCCTGCCATCGGATCAGCGCGGTGCGCTGGCCGCAGCGCGCCGGCCGCGGTGGCCATTGGAGGGTGAACCAACGGCAAAGGAAGACCTTTCTCTCTGTCTCTCTCTCTCACTATCCACTCTGCCTGTCAAAAAAAAAAAAAATGAAACGCAGAAACTAGTAGAGCAGGAAAGTGTGATAGTGAAGAGAAATCAAAATGAAATGAAGAGCTCAATAGATCAAATGACAAACACATTAGAGAGCCTTCAAAACAGAATGGGTGAAGCAGAAGAGAGAATATCGGACTTAGAAAACAGAGTACAGGAAAACACACAGTCAAACCAAAGAAAAGAAGAGGAAATTAGAAATCTAAAAAATATTGTTGGGAATCTACAGGATACTATTAAAAAACCAACATTCGAGTTCTAGGAGTTCCTGAAGGCATGGAGAGAGAGAAAGGATTAGAAGGCCTTTTTAGTGAGATACTAGCAGAGAACTTTCCAGGTTTGGAGAAGGACAGAGACATCCTAGTTCAGGAAGCTCATAGAACCCCCAATAAACATGACCAAAAGAGATCCTCACCATGACACGTGGTAATTAAACTCACCACAGTGAAACATAAAGAAAAGATGCTAAAATGTGCAAGAGAGAAACGTCAGATTACTCTTAGAGGATCTCCAATTAGACTCACAGCAGACATCTCATCAGAAACACTACAGGCTAGGAGGGAATGGCGAGACATAACACAGGTGCTAAGAGAGAAAAATTGCCAGCCCAGAATATTATATCCTGCTAAGCTCTCATTTGTGAATGAAGGTGAAATAAAGACCTTTCATAGCAAACAGAAATTGAAAGACTTTGTGGCCACTCGTCCGGCCATGCAAAAGATACTTAAAGATGTGCTACACTCAGAAACACAGAAACACGGCCATTAATATGAAAGAAGGTAAAGGAAGAAAAACCACCAGTAAAACAGCATGGGAAACTCAAAGCTTATACTAGAAAATATTTCCGGGAAAATGTCAGGGCAAAGTCACTATATATGAATAGTCACATTAAACATTAATGGTTGTAACTATTCAGTTAAAAGACACCGATTGGCTGATTGGCTCAGAAACACAACCCAACCATTTGTGCCCTAGAAGAAACACATCTCTCTAACAAAGATGCATGCAGACTGAAAGTGAAAGGTTGGAAAAAGATATTCCATGCCAACAGAAACCAAAAAAAGCAAGTGTATCCATATTAATATCAGGCAAAATAAACTTTAATACAAAAACTGTTAAGAGAGACAAAGAGGGACACTATATAATGATTAAGGGTTCAATTCAACAGGAAGATGTAACTATTATAAATGTATATGCACCTAATTACAGGGCACCGGTCTATTTAAAACATATGTTAAGGGACTTAAAGGGAGATTTAGATTCCAATACAATAGTACTGGGGGACTTCAATACTCCACTCTCAGAAATAGACAGATCATCAGGACAGAAGATCAACAAGGAAACAGCAGATTTAATTGACACTATTGCCCAAATGGATCTAACAGATATCTACAGAACTTTCAATCCTACATCTAAAGACTTTACATTCTTCTCAGCAGTGCATGGAACCTTCTCTAGGTTTGATCACATACTAGGCCATAAAGCAAGTCTCAGCAAATTCAAAAGAATTAGAATCATACCATGCAGCTTCTCAGACCACAGTGGAATGAAGCTGGAAATTAGCAACTCAGGAAACCCCAGAAAGTATGCAAACACATGGAGACTGAACAACATGCTCCTGAATGAACACTGGGTCATTCAAGAAATCAAAAGAGAAATTAAAAACTTTCTGGAACTGAATGAGAATAACAACACAACATATCAGAACTTATGGGATACAACAAAAGCAGTACTGAGAGGCAAGTTTATAGCAATAGGTCCTATATCAAGAAATTGGAAAGGCACCAAATAAATGAGCTTTCAGCGCATCTCCAGGACCTAGAAAAACTGCAGCAAACCAAACCCAAATCTAGTAGGAGAAGACAAATAATTAAAATCAGAGAAGAAATTAACAGGATTGAATCCAAAATAAAAACATTTGAAAAAATCAGTCAAGCGAGAAGCTGGTTTTTTGAAAAAATAAACAAAATTGATACCCCATTGGGGTACAACAAAGCCGGAGGTAAAACAATACAAGATTTCAGGACATACTACAGGGCAGTTGTAATCAAAACAGCATGGTTCTGGTCCAGAAACTGATGGATAGACCAATGGAACAGAATTGAAACACCAGAAATCAACCCAAACATCTACAGCCAACTTATTTTGATCAAGGATCTAAAACCAATTCCTGGAGCAAGGACAGTCTATTCAACAAATGGTGCTGGGAAAACTGGATTTCCACGTGCAGAAGCATGAAGCAAGACCCCTACCTTGCACCTTACACAAAAATCCACTCAACATGTATTAAAGACCTAAATCTACGACCTGACACGATCAAGTTATTAGAGAACGTTGGAGAAACCCTTCAAGATATTGGCACAGGCAAAGAGTTTCTGGAAAAGACCTGGGAGGCACAGGCAGTCAAAGCCAA